CGGATTGAATCTTACCAGCCAGTCCTTCCCTCACTGAGCAACCCGGATGTAAGAATGACAGGGAATATCTGTGCATGTGAACAGGGATAAAATAATGATGATAATAAAACAGAGACAGGAAGTGATAATAAATAATAAGCATAATGAGGAAAGCAGGCTTAGAGAATTTGACACTCTCAGGACTTCTTGAAAAAAAAGATAGGAACACCGAGAAACTAACGTAACGGGCTTGTGTAAATGGTTGACAGAACAAAGACTGGGATAGATAGTAAGAAAGAAAACATTACTTAGAGCTACCAAGGATAGGAAACTGTGGAGAGCCGTGATCGTCCACGTTCTAAAGTTTCATAAAAGAATATATAAATTTATGCATGTATGAATATGCACTTGGTATGCTGCTTATGCGGATTTTTATATTCACCTCAGACATTTGTTTGATGTTATTAGATTAATGAAGTTTCGAATGCTAGCGATTATTGTTCTTCAGGCCAAAATTACTGTTGTTGTCATGTCGTGTACTTTTTCGCTTATCTTTTCTTTTTGATTTCTTTTTTTTTTTTTTTCCCACCCCGTCGATTCTATTATCAAAGTTCAAAACCTGATACATAAACAGTTTTTCGTGAGATGGTAACAATGTAAGCAGTTTATCTTCCGGTCATACACTAAACGAGAAGAAAAATTCAGAAAATTCTGGAAAGAAAAAAATATATTTGAAAACTGGAAAGAAAGTTAAAAATGAAAATAAAAAAAATAATTTTTATCATTATTCTTTTTGTTTTGTTTTTATCTTGATTTTTTTTCTTGGGAAGGGTAAATTCGAAGAGATAATCAGATTTGCTATTTCTTTGTACCGTTTGCTGAGAACTGCCATCTTGGTTGAAGCAAGAAGACGTTTGAGTTGGATACTGTTTCAGGTTTAATCATTTTGAATATATATGGTTGTCATGTTGCTGTTGTTATTGTAAGTAATTTGTATTGTTGAAGATCAAAGACACAAAATAAAGAGCAGAAAGACAGACGAAGAAAAGACTAAAAAGTGTATATAGGCAAACGAAAGAAAGAGAGGAGACAAATAAAAAGGGAAAGAAAGAAATAATGAATGAATACAGACAAGTAACAACAAAAGACAATATAGACAAATAAAAAGGAAAGAAAGAAGGAATATTGACAGACGAAAGAATATAGCGATAACTTAGGCGTGGCCCAAGAGCGAAAGTATAGAGCACACAGTGAGGATCGAACTAGCTACTCAGTAATTGATCGAGCACGAAAAGCTTGCTAACCATTATACTACGTCGAAGTGCCCGAATAATATTATAGACAAAAGAAAGAAAGAAAGAATATAGACGAAAGAAAGAATATGGACTAAAGAAAGAAAGAAAAATAGACTAAAGAAAGAAAGAAAGAAAGAAAAATAGACTAAAGAAAGAAAGAAAGAAAAATAGACTAAAGAAAGAAAGAAAAATAGACTAAAGAAAGAAAGAAAAATAGACTAAAGAAAGAAAGAAAGAAAAATAGACTAAAGAAAGAAAGAAAGAAAAATAGACTAAAGAAAGAAAGAAAAAAAAGACTAAAGAAAGAAAAGAATAATAGACTAAAGAAAGAAAGAAAAGAAAGAAAGAAAAAAAAACTAAAAGAAAGAAAGAAAGAAAAAAAAGAATAAACTAAAGAAAGAAAGAAAAGAAAAAAAGACTAAAGAAAAAAAGAAAGAAAAAAAAAAGAATAAATTTTAAGAAAGAAAGAAAGAAAGAAAATAGACTAAAGAAAGAAAGAAAATAGACTAAAGAAAAAAAGAAAGAAAAAAAAAAGAAAGAAAGAAAGAAAAAAGAAAAATGGAACTAAAAAAAGAAAGAAAAGAAAGAAAGAAAAATAGACTAAAGAAAGAAAGAAAGAAAGAAAGAAAAATAGACTAAAGAAAGAAAGAAAGAAAGAAAGAAAGAAAAATAGACTAAAGAAAGAAAGAAAAATAGACTAAAGAAAGAAAGAAAGAAAGAAAGAAAAATAGACTAAAGAAAGAAAGAAAGAAAGAAAGAAAAATAGACTAAAGAAAGAAAGAAAGAAAGAAAGAAAAATAGACTAAAGAAAGAAAGAAAGAATAATAGACGAAAGAAAGAAAGAAAGAATAATAGACGAAAGAAAGAAAGAAAGAATAATAGACGAAAGAAAGAATATAGACTAAAGAAAGAATATAGACTAAAGAAAGAATATAGACTAAAGAAAGAATAATAGACGAAAGAAAGAAAGAAAGAAAGAATACAGACAAAAGAAAGAAAGAAAGAATACAGACAAAAGAAAGAAAAGAAGAAAGAAAGTATGAATATAGACAAACGAATGAAAGAAAGAATATAAACAAAAGAAAGAAAACATTTAGATGAATGAAAAGATGTAGACAAAAGCAAAAAAAGAATATAGACAAATGAACGAAAGAAAGAATGAATAAATGTAGACAAATGAAAGAAAAATATAGACAAAAGAATGAATAAATATAGACAAAAGATAGAAAGACAGATAAATAAAACGATGAATTGGAAAAGTAAAAGAACGTCAAAAAGTCAAACAAAACAAAAGTACAGACAAATGAAAGAAAGAAAAAATGTTTTAAACAGTTGAAAAAGACTATAAAGACAAAAAGAAGGATGAGGAGACAGACAAAAGACGAAAACAAAGAAAGTATATAGTTAGATAAAAGAAAGAAAAATAGAAATAACAATTAACAGACAGACGAAAAAAAAAGAAAGAATACTAATTAGGCGAGCATAAGAAAGAAAGGTCATTAGTAAGATGCGTAAAAGAAAGAAAAGAAATGAGGAAATGATACAATTTTACATGAAAGACAAACAATAGAGACAAAAAAACTAAAACAAACAAAAAAAACTGAAAAGAATTTAAATAAAAAACGGACCTTCAAACTTTTCTGTCATAAACTTCAGGGGGATTATCGGAGATGTCATGTGAAGACGAACTTCAAATGCAAGTCTCGGAAAATTTGACATGTAGAAAATAGAAAATATTTTGAAAAAGAACGACAAAAGGAAACGGTTTTGTAAAAAAAAGAACAACACAAATACAGTATTTCGAAGAGAAATAACGACTGACTCACCCCCGCCCGCCAAACACATCTCTAAAAAAGAAAAGCAAAAAATCTTCTCAGTACAAAATTGTTTGCCGGTCGGATACTTAACTCCAAATAAATTAATTTAATAATCCTTTGTGATTATTTTTTCCTCCTTCTCTTCTCGTTTTTGTGTTTATCTTCTTAAAACCAAACTGTGACAGTTCGTAGAGAAAAGGCAATTCTTCTACGCGCGACTACGACCTTCAAATAGTAGAAGCAGTTGTGAGGTATTTTGTTCTTTTCAATTTTTCATGCTTTTTCTTGTTGGTTTTTTGTTGGTTATTTTTTGCGTTAACTCTTTCCAAACCATAGTTTGTTATATTTTCTGGAGAAACCATGTTGTTGAATCATTCAAATTGTGGAACTTTTCCATAGCATGTTTTATTATATATATATATATATATATATATATATATATATATATATAAAAACAGCAAAATTGGCCAATTGTTATATTTACCTTTAAACCGTTCTATCTTAGAAATTATTAAAGATATCTTACTGGAATTCTCCGAGGTTTTATAACACTATTGGACTCTACTTTGAACAATATGAATGTATTTAGCTCTAAGTTGAAATGATGACCCCTCTTGCTGTTGTGACCTCCTGGTCTTGTTTTCCTTTCTACTGTTCCTTCTTTTTAAAACTTATTCACCGTTCTCTTGATGGTTCTTGAATGGAGCATGAATGTTGGTATCATTACTAAAGGCCTGAATGATCTTTTTTCCTCTGACGATTGTTCAGTTAGAAGATATAGTAGGGCTGGCGTAAAACGATTTTAAACTGTTCTTTTTCGAGCTGAATAACTCAAATTCTTACGACAAATGGTGTCAAGATGGCTAAACGTATTATCTGAAAATCGGGAAAAAAAAACTCAATTAGGTTAGTAGTTTTTTTGTAGATATGAAGCATTTCATGGGATGGGCAATTATCCCATGCTGTTACACGATTTGACAATTTTGCTGTTACACCCTGTATATATATATATATATATATATATATATATATATATATATAAAAATCTATAAAACATAAAAGGATCACAAACCCGATTTCGAAGCTAATCCAACTACAAGGATTATCAACCCAACACGACCTGAAATTGACAGAATTAGTAAATAAAATCCTAGAAAAGGTCAACTAACAAATTAAGGATTACCTAGAATTGAAACTTTGGATTAATACCAAAGAAGTAACTCATTAGTTTACTAATATCAAAGAGAAAACGAATTGTACGCTAATACAATTTGATATTGAGAATTACTACCAATCGATATCAAAGGAACTTTTCACGAATGCTATTGATTTTGCTACCCAATACCATAATAGAAGAGAAAAGCATTATTATAAATATCGGTACTCCTATATAAGGGCGAGAAATGGATTAAAAACTCTAATGACCACTTCGATATCACAATGGGATCATTGGACCCTGCAGAGTCTTCTGACCTTATTGGTCTTTTCATATTATACAATCTTAAAGCATATCGCGCAGTTAGTATAACTGACGTTGGATTGTACAGAGACAAAAGGCTTATAGTTATAAAGAATTCTACAAACTTTAAAATTATTCAAATTAGAAAACTATTATACAGGGAATTTAAATGCCTCAACTTGAAAATTACTGTAAGTACTAAATTGGAAAAGGTTAACTTCCTTGATATAACATTAGATTTAATGAATAATATATACATACCTTCAAAAAAAAACAATACTAATCCTTTGTATATACACCTTAAATTTAATCATCCTCCGTCTACAATTAAAACTTTATATATCGAAAAGAGAATAAGTACAAATTCAGCAAATGAGAAAATTTTCTATGAACATAGTAATTTCTATAATAAAGGTCTAAAGAATAGTTGCTACAAATGCCCAAAACTCAATTATATAAAAAATGAAAGTGGAAACCATAGAAGAAACAGAAGTAGGAAAATCATTTGATATACACCCCCATACAACCAAATGGTATAAAATAAATTAGGACAAAAATTCCTTGCATTAATCATTAAACATTTTCTTAGAGACAGTAAACTCAGTACAATTTTTAATAAAAATACCCCAAAATTAAGTTACAGTTGTACTGAAAACTTAGAAATGAATATTATGAAACGTAGTGCTAATATCTTGAGTAAACACTTAGACCTAAATCAAAAAATTAGAGAGTATAATAAAAAGAAATGAAGATAATGAAAACTTATTTAATCGTAAAAATCCTCAAAACTGTCCTCTTAGTAATAAATGTCGCACTGAATCATTAGTGTACCAATGCAATATTTCCTCTATTGAGGTTCCAGACAAAGTTAAATTCTACATTGGATGCACAAGACATGAATTCAAAAGGCGTTGGAACCAACATCAAAGTTCTTTTAAAATAAGTAAATACTGAAATCAGACGTCCCTATCTAAATATTTCTGGCACTTAAAGGAAACCGATAAAATACCCACTGTAAAATGGAAATTAATAAGAAAAGCTAGAATTTGTAGGTCATTAGATGACCCATATCCTTTGTGCATACATGAGAAATTATACATTAGGTTTATGAAAAATAAAAATTTACTTAATCAAAGAAATGAAATAGCTGTTTTTGCAGACACTGTCAAACATTTTCCTTAAATAAAGATTAAATGTGAAAAAAAAACGATAAAAAATGAAACATACATATTTATACTTGATCTTTGAATAATAATTTTTAAATAAAAAAAGTAATTCTAATATGTTTATTTGTTTAAAAAAACGTATAGTACATTAGTAATTAGAATTAGGAATAATAATTTAAAATTGTAGGAATAGATTTTAAATATTAAAAATACAACTTACTCATATTCAGACGATGCTTTTGAAAAATATTTGTGTGTAAAATTATAAATTAAACGGTAAAATAAAAATGCCCCCAAAATTTTTGTCATTGAAAAAAAAACACAGACAAAATACGAAAAACTGATGTCATTATTTGTTGAACTGGCACCCCTACCCTAACTTAACCTGATTTTGAAAGTAAGTCATATTTTGATACACAGGTTGTCTACAAAAATGAATAACCTACTACCCATTATCAAAATGATTGAATTTCCCGTAACCTTAGCAACTAATATCAAGAGATGCAAGAAAATGGTCACTTTCCTGTACCGCTGAAGTAATTATCTGACTTCTCCCGCTATCATCTACTTTCACAAGAGCCAGATCAGGTCTAAAATGGAGTACTGCTGTCATATTTGTGCTGGAGTTGCCCAGTCCTCACTTTCCAGCCACGATAGAGTCCGAAAAGCGTCTCCGGGTCCTTGTGGATGACAAATTATTTTTACATTACTACCCCTCTTTCACTGGGGTAGTAATGTAAAAAAAAAAAACCTGCCCTATCTCTACTTCCATGAAAAGTGTTCAGACGAACTGCATTCCTTAATTCTGCCAGTTTTAACCTTCACGGCTAAGACCAGCCATGCTGTGCACATTGCACTCTCATTCCCTCACTTGAGCAGCATCTTTCCGCGGACTACTGCTCTGTCGGACCGCTCCACAATACAGTGGACACTTGTTTTGAATTGAAATTCCTGTCTCACAAATCGCTTGTGGCTACTACATCTAAGAGCAAGGTATATTTGCAGGAGATTTTGAGGAGCGTCGTCCCACATCCTAATTGGTGTTGTTCGCATGTCTATCGTGCATGTGTTCAAAATATTTAGATTTCGGCATTAAATAACCCATATCATCAAATTCCATCACTTAACACCCTCCATAATTTACCAAGACATTTCATTACACCTGATGTAAATTTATGAGCGTTCATAAATTTAAAACATTTACAAAAAAAATCTAACGACATTTGTTTGTAAATACTTGTCACAAAATAAAAATCCTTACATTTGCCTAGATAGCGTCCATCAGAGAACGAAACGCTTCTATGAAGTTAAGTTTTGCTTTTGTCTTTATTCATATATATATATATATATATATATATATATACACACACACAGAGAGAGATACCCACACACCCACATACGATATGGTACTAAAATGTTCTCGCGCCGACCCACCTGCCAAAATCAGTATTTAGATATATGACCATTGAAATACTGGTAATATCAGAATAAAAATGGTCTGTCTTTTACGATCGTCACAGAAATGGACCCATCAAAATAAAATGCCACAAAAAGGCCGACAATGAAGAAATAAACTGACCGTCTGCAAAATAGGAACAAATAAATTCACTATTGTGCGAACGTTTTTTAATTAAATTTTATTTTAAAGTTA